GTGCTGGTGGGCAGAACGCCTCTATCAACGACAACCTCAAGAAGATGGGAAACTTCTTCCGCAGGGATAACTTTGGGCTTGGCGCGCGCTTTGGGAAGAGGGATGGGAGTGCGGATGGTCGATGATGATGAGGGTGTGGTGGGGAGAAAGGGGAGAGAGGATTGGGTGGGGGGTGATGATAGAATTAAATGCGTAGATTGCCTACTACTTTTGTGCGTGTCTGGGTACTTGTGTGTCGGTCTGCATGTCTGTCTCTGCCTGCCTGCCTGCCTGTGTGCTTGCGTATCTGTGGTGTCTGACTATCTGTTTATATACTGCGATCAAAATGTGCTACTGGGGGCCAGGGGCATAATGCGAAGTCTATTCCTCCTGCACTTCCGCCGTGTAGCAGCTCGTCACCGACTTCTTATATGGTTAGATGCTCGAGCCTCCCCTCTCTTTTTCCTTGTTTGGAACTCTGAGTACCTTCTGATACGGGATTGGTAGTCCAGTGATGTAGTGATCTGGTAACATGCCGTGATAGCTAGCTGTCTAGGCACCAAGGCCTCGATGGCCTAATTGAAGGAAGATATGAAGCCCCTATAATGTCGTGGGGTTATGTAACGCTAGCACTAGACGAGCGGTGATCCACCCGGCATCCCCTTATATTGGAGGCTCCTCCCTCTGGTTTCCCAGACAGGAGTAAGAATCATCATGCTATTTTGTAGCAGCTATGAACCATAATGATGGTATCTATTTTCTATGTTCTGTGTTCTGCTCTGTGTTGTCACAAACCCTGGTCTATATACTCTGTAATGCGTATAATTCGACGGCATGGTACGTATCCGACACATCTCCGTTCCTATTGGTGCGTGACCTTTTCGGGGAAGAAAAACAAAAAGACAAAAAGGGAGAGGGGGAAAAATTACAATACAATGAAAAGAAAAGTTTGGTACATGAGCTATCTAATTATCTTATCAAGTGTCAAGTGTAGCAAGTTCCTTGTGCCCAGCTCGTGTAAGGGGGATATCCACAGCATGTGCCGACCTCTGTTGCGCAAGCATATGGATCACTGCAGTCGTTACTGTCGGTGCAAGGCGACCCAGGACAGCCGGGAATATTCGTGCCACAGCAAGTCGTAATGCTGTCGCCTGTGTCCGTGTAACAGATATTCGGTTGCATACACTGGCTATCGGCTGTACATGTTTCTCCAGCGCGTAGACCACTCACCAATCCGGTATCAGGCGCTAGTGTTGTGGTCATAGGGTTTAGGGTCGACGGGGTTGAAAGCATTGGTTGAGCAATGGTGCTGCTCGGAGTCGTAACAACCGACGTACTTGATAAACCAGAACTCGATGTTATAGAAGAGGTAATGCCCTGAGGCTCAGTTGGTGTAGACGTCGTCGAATGTGTGGATGATGCTTTGGAACTGGCTGTAGGAGAGATGGTTGGTGATGATGCCTTGGAAGTGGTTGTAGGAGAGATGGTTGCTGATAGGGTTGCTGGTGATGCTGTGTTCTGGAGAAACTTCATTATTAGAATTTGATATAAGACAACATTTTTGGCTTTGCAACTCACCGTATATCCCTCTCCTGTGTGGTTCTCTCGAGACTTGAAGATGCCGAATCCTATCAGTGCGATTGCCACGACGATAAATGCAACGATTCCTGGTGTCTTCCATTGTTCTTTGAATAGTGTGATCTTTGTAGGGTGTGACCTATTATGACTATTAAGAGTAAAATCTGCGTCACCCCTTACCGCATTGTGATTTGCCTCCGTCCTGGATGGCATTGCTGGAAGCAGACCGGATGAGAAGACACAAGTGTAGCCTCCTCCACCCAGCGACTGGACCAAAATGCCAGCAGGTGACTTTAGTATATTGTATGTAACCTTGCAACACACCGAACGCTCAAAATACCAGTTCCAAATACTCGACATGCAAGGCAAATGACTTGGTAAGCCAGTTTGAGATCTGCCCCCCGCCCCCTTATCAGCCGGGCGAACACTGCCCTTCCAAGTCCCATCCACGCCTCATTTGAACGCCTTTTACTCCTACATTCGGTCGAGGCTCTTAGCCCCCAAACCTGGCTGCTGCCTCACGACTTGAATCTCCGCGGGACCAACTCATCGATAGAGCCGCTCCATTCACGGCTCTCTATTTGTGTTTTCCTCGGGATCTTGGTTTGCTTCTTTGTTAGAACTTGGCTAATCCGTATATCACCGAACTCGAACTAGATTGGAGGAGCCAACGATGCCGGTTTAATAGCAAGAATGCCCACGGGTTAGATTTGTGAAGATATCTTGTATAGGAGGCAAATTCTATACAGGGGCCAATGTAGGATGACTGTGGATGGCCCGTGGAGGGCTCGGTGTATACCACCCCAATATCATCATTCAGAATATTGTGGCGTCGCGTCGGTCAATATGAGTCGCTGTCGAGAGGCTACGTGGTCCTGACCTTTTTGCACTTTTGGGCATTCCACCACTAGAGTATCAGCAGAAATCCTACCCCATGGACCTCCTCACCATATACCTTGCGCCCGTCCTTGGAGTGAGTGGCAATATCAGGTAAACGCGCGCACACACACCGAAGTAAAGCGCCACATAGATGCAGGCTGCCCAAACAGGTACTATCATGAACCACCTTCCGGAACCTTCTGTTACAAAGGATTTTATAAACAGGATGTATGGTATGTATACCACCATAATACCCCTCCTCGTAAAATCCAGCCTGTTTCAAAGATCCTGGTACGACCACGCAATGGATGTCATTAGCGGCATTGCCAGTATAAGCCAGATTCTAGGCTATTGCAGCTGTGCCAGTAAAGTCCTGTACCAACTTCTCAAGGATATAAACAACGGCCATGCCGCTTACCGAGATCGAATCCTTACTATTGAGCTTCTGCTGGGACTATTCCGCGACATATCGGAACAAGACATTACATCAGTTGAGTTGAGAGATTTCATCCTCTCAGTCACAATCGAGGTGTCTTCGCTGGCATGCAAGGCGCGGTCTTTTTTGAGTAGCCGACCCCCAGTACTCATAAGCTTCTTTCACGTCTCAAAGCAAAAGTCGGCACTTGTGGAACTTTTCGACGCCCTCTCTCTGAGGAGAGACGTCATCCTCTTACATCTCGCACATAACAACCACTGTTTGCTGTCAAATATTACCACTCAACTTCAAGATAGTCACATGTCTGGCGATAAAATGGGTGCCATGTTGGGGAAAGTAAGCATACCTCATTCATAAAACGTCATCTTCAGAGCTAAAACTACATTAAAGATGCGTGCGGACAACAACACAGTGGGAAAAAACGCAAAGTTCACTTTTGGCAGCTGGAACCGAACGATGGACACGAACACAAACGTCCCCGATATGTCTGCTAACGGCAACGCGGTAGACGGGCATGCAGATTTTGCATTTGGTAGTCACAATGACACGGGGATGGGGGCGGGGCGTGAGGCATCAAATGCAGGGACCGACGAGGCCGAACAGCAACAGCGAAATAGTTTCGCAGACCGACGGGGACTGGCCTCTCCCGAGAATCAACAGAGTGCAAGAGAAGCCTGGGTGACTCGAAGACGGGACTGATTTCTTTCCCCTTGGTCCATTCTCCCTCTCTCCCCCTCTCCCTCTCCCCCTCGCCGCACTGTTTTGACAACCTTCTAATTTATCTACATATAACAAATTTTTCCCCTTCATCGCTTTAGGTCTCAACTTTCACTCATTGAAAATACGCGTCATTTTTTGCTACATTTGGCCCGAAAACTCGCCAGAGGCAAAAATCCCCAAGACGGCATTGGCTCTTTTATTTATCGAAACTCATCGCTTCTACCCCTGTTCGATCATAGAAATTATAACGGGCAATACATGCATTATACACTACCTTTTTATTTGCTATATTTACTCAAGTTATATGCGTATTTCTTTTACTTGCCAGACCCCTTATTTCCAATAGGAAAACTGTCGTAGATTGCGTTGCAGAGGTTTGTGGCAACCAAACCGTGGCAACGGTGTTGCAGTAGTTGCGTTGCGTTGCTTGATACCCTGATATTATCTGTTGGAATAAGGTGGCTGGAAATCCAGGTGGCTGGGAACGCCCCATACCTGTGGCTATATATATGGAATGCCCTTACCTGCTTATAGAGAATATTCCTAAAATATTAATGTAACCTAATACAATATAATATCTCATAATTTACGTTTATATTTAATAAGTTATAAGCCCGGCAAAGCTTATAAAGGATTTCTTATTAAACTTATTTACTTATTACTTATTCGATTTGCTTATATTATATAGACGTTAATAAACCGGCTTGCTGCGTTTTTTGTTACAAACGAAGAATTCCTAATATAACCTAATTAGAAATTAAATAATATACGGCATTTTACGAATATACATTGTATTTATCGGAAACGCCGTTATTCGTATTTTATTCGTGCTTATTTTAAAATCCTATTCGCACGGTAATAATGAATTACCCCACTTAAATCAAAATCTTATTATAAAAATCCATTAAGCATATATTATATTATTGTTATTGCTTTCTTATTTTAAATAATAACGTCGGAATTAAAGAATTTATCGAAATTATTCTGTTTAAAAGCAATAAAACGAGAATATAAATTTATCCGCTTTATTTTTATTCTTATTCGTTATTAAGGTAACGAATAAAACAATAAAGCCACGATAAATTTACCAAACGATAATATAACCTTATTCTTAAAACTAAACTTATCTTTATTGCTATTGCTTCTTTCGTTATTTCTATATATAACGTTACTTATAGCCGAATGCCTTTATTTAAACCATTAATACGTTAATAACCTAGCATAAAACCGGTTATAAAATTTAACAAAATATGCAAATACTAATTATTCATTTAGTTCCGCCTATAGCCATACGATATCGACCGAAATAAAAAACAATACGCTCGATAACATAATGAAACTGGAATTACCAACAAAATAAATCAGCTTTAAAAGGGACATAACGGATTATCTTTATATTTAGAAATACGGCCGCATGGCTCAATGGTTAAGAGCCTGGCATAGCGTAAGTCGACGAAGCGCCGCTGGATAGGTTCGAATCCTATTGCGACCGCAGGTTTGTCCGTAATTGCTGTGCTTGGCAGCTTGGGCAACCGCGACCTGCCGCACCTTGGCATGCCTTTGGCAAAAAGGGAGACGACGCACCGCTGCGCCATCGACCCGGTGGCAACTCGATCGGGGTTGGGTGGAACGACGACCAGGGTTACTGGGAAGCCCTTCCGAAACAAGGCGTTTTTTCGAGTCTTATAACGCAGAATCAAAGCCTCCGTATACCGTGCGACAACGGTTTGAGCGCGCTAGCCGGTAGCGCCCACAAGTAACCGACCGGTCGACGACCGACATTCGTCTAATCCCGCAAGCGGCGGGGCAAGGTGCGCTAAAGAAAAGACGACTTGACGATATCGCTCCGGCATTGCGCCGACCCATGGGCCACCTCGAGCCAAGCGCGCTTATACCGCACGTCGAAACAAAGTAGCACATCCTGGACGGGCAGGGCCTTGTCAAGCCAAGGGCGGAAGACGCCGAACGACGATACTTATGACAAATCGAGGAATAACATCGGGATATCACTTAGTATGGAACCGGAGGGATCTGGAGTGGCGGCAGGTTTGGCACCTTCGAGGTTTTCCTGTCAAGTAATACGTAGACAAATCCGGCATGGCCTTAATGGGCCGTCGACCGCGTAATATAATCTATCTATATTTAGAAATACGAACGGATGCTTTCCGGAAAAAACGAAGCCGACCATGCCGAAAAAATCGCGAATATAACGGCTAGCGAAAAAACTAAAGAAACCAGGATTTAAAAGGACAAATAAAACAAAGCCCTAAAAATAATCCGCTATAAGTTAAGCGAAAACCCTAAGGCGGAAATTAACAAAAATAACCTAATTACTTTATTTAAGATTTGGATTTATTTAATTAAAAATTACCAACCTAAGGGCAATACCGTCTTTTAGTATCTTTTTTATTAATGAAATAATATTACGTTAATTACGAAACATACCGTCGCCGCTTTGGCCTTTAAGTTACGTCAAATCAAAACGGACTTCGTTAAATTAAATGAAATATACATTATTTTTATTCCACATTTTATTAATAAGTTCTTTTTAGCATTCGGACCCAATTATTTCATTTTTTTATTATCTTTTATTAAACCTATAACATTATCCTTAATAAAAACGAAAAAAATAAGGTTACGACGAATGCAGTAACATTCGAAAAAATATTACAGCTTATCCTATAAAAAGAATAAACATTACGCCTTAAAAACGATAACGGATTATAAACGGGACTTTTTTAAGCCTACCGTTCGAATAATAAAATATAAAAAGGTAAAGGCAAAAAAAAAGCCCCAAACGGATCCTAATGCCATTATTATAAAACAATTAAACGACGAATTACGAATTACTTACTTAACGAATGCTTTTGGGAATACCCAAAAAAGGCCCCCGCATATTAGCAAAGCGATAAGCCTTAATTAAAAAAACAAAAGCCCAACGACGTATAGGTTATTCCTGCTAAATTAATATACGGAAATACGGACGAAAATAATATTGGATCCTTTATTATTAATATTTTCTTGATAATACGAAACGATGCCGATAAATTACCGAAAGTTCCGCCGTAACCCAGCATATTATTCCGGATTTTTAAGGGCATTTTATTCGGAATTTACCTTATAATTACCCGGAAACGGGCCGATAAGCAGCCCGTTATAAGCCTACCCTTTAAAAAAAACTCGGCTATAATTTCGGTAATATTAAAACATTTATTATAAAGCGTTCCAAAAACCTTTAATACAAGATAACGCCTAATAAAATTAAAGCTTATATTATTACCTTAAAATAAAGCCATAAAGCTGGCTAAAAAACTCCAAGAAATTCTGGTCTTAAATAATAGCTGTAATTAAATAACATATTGCAAACGTAAATTATTTAAAAAGCTCCGACCTTATAAAAGTCCATAAATTTATAGCATCGAAAACAAGGTGCTAATACCAAAAAAAAAAGAAACCATTATTTTCGATATTTTAATCGACGGCAAAATAAAACGCATGAAAATTTAGGACGCAATTTATTATTTAAAACTCGGAGCGAATTTCGTTTCGGTTACCTAATTAATTAAAAAGGAAACAAAATTTCTGTTTCGCCTTAATTCCGCTTACGGTATTAAAAAGGAACATATTTTTTTGATTGCGATTATATTATTAAGCTTATATATAATTAATTAATTTGGTAACATAATTAATATAGCCGGCCTTATTATGGCTTTTTATTTTTATTCCGTTAATATCGCCCTATAAGCATATTTCGTTTTCGATTTTAATATAATAATTTAATACAAAAAGCTGGAATATTTTAACGAAATTAATATTTATAAGCTATAAATTATATTTATCGGTATAAAACCTATAAAACAGCATTATTTTTATAAAAACTGCGTTTAAGGTTATTAACGAAAAAAACCTTATAAAGGCAAGCTTAAAAAAGGTATTTATGGCCTAGAATTATTATACCTCGACGAAGCTAGCATGCCGAAAGGTACCGTAAGTTACGATTATTCTATTAGCTGGCTGGCTATCGTATGTAACTATATACAAATAAATTGGATAGTTTTTATTAAATAACCAAGAAATTAGCTATAAGCCCTTAAGGATTTCTTGGCACTTTAGGAAAAACCGAAACGGCGCTGCTATATAATTATTATCGATAAAATAGGCAGCCATAATAACATTAATTTCCATAATTTTTGCATAATAAAAAGCATAAACATTCGTTATATAGCCATTAATTAATACGAACAAAACGGTATTTCCGAAAGCATTATTGGCCATTTAAAAAATAATATCCGATTAATCATAATAATAACTTTAAAAAACGGCGTATTAAAATATTTTTGGCTTATTATTACTAAAACCGCTTATTATTTTAAAAATTAAAATTCATATTTCGCTTTTATTATTATTCCCTATAAAGCTTAATACGGCAAAAAGCCTAATTTATATTACTTAGTATACGTCGGCGCCCCTAATTATTATAAGCTTACCAAAAAAGCAAGCATTTTAAATCCAATTAACGTTCCTTATAAAATGCTAGGATATAACGGCGAAAGCATAACAAATTATATCGTTCTTTGGTTCGATAATGGGCAATCCATTAACGTTAATAACGTCGTTTTTAAAAAAGAATATTACGTATATTCTTAATGCTATAATTATAAAAAAATAAAATTACCGTTATTCGAATTATCGGATTTTGCATATAAATGCAAACAATTAAATAATATGCCAAGTTATTCCGATATGCCATCCGATTTAATTCCGGGCCGATAATTAAATCCGGCTCCGATTAAACGAAGCATTAAACGCTTAAGCCTCGAATTATTTCCGGCTATCATTAAAAATAATAGCTTATCCGATATTTATCTTATAATTATTCGGAAACGAATTAACGAATAGCCCGTTATAAGCTTATTTTTATTAAATAAGTTTATAAAAGAATTGCATAGCTTTAAAAACGATTTTATTTAGCTTTATAAACGTTTACGTAATTACAACGTTTCAAAATAGCCCGGCGAATTACGTAATATTAATAACGATATAACTTAGCCTAATACGTTACGTAATCCCGATAACGTTATTGCTTAATCCAATAAGCAAGTTAGGAATATAATATATTATAAAGGCAATTCATTACCGAAAGTTCCATATGGTTATAATCTTCGTTCGTAAATAAAGCATACCTAAACCAGTCGCTTTTAATTTAAAGCCAATTTCGCTTTTTATTTGGCTATAGTTACATTAAGAATTATATTAATGGCCATAACTATTAAATCCCATAATTATAAGCATACAAAATAAAATATATATTGGTTTAAATAATATAAGGCCATAAAAAGCGAGCATTAGTTTTTAATAAATAATAATACCTAAATGCTTTACGATTTACTAATCGACCGAAAGCCTTTATTAAGCAAATAGGTATATAAGCTTAAAAAAGGACCCAACGGAAAGATTATCCGTTATAAGGCCCGCTAAGTCGTCTGCGGCTTTAAACAAATAAAGGGCCTAAACTATATAAATACCTTTGTTTTAATAATAAAACCCATAAATTATAAAGCAATTTTCGCCCTAGCCGCAGCGCTAAATCTCGAATTCGAACAAATAAACGTCAAAATAATTTTTCTTTACGGACCTGTTATTAAAAAAATCTACGTCGAATAACCTCCGGAATTTAACGACGGCACGACAAAGGTATGCAAATTAAATAAGGCACTTTACGGCCTAAAACAAGCGCCTCGAATTTAATATTATACGCTAGCCACGTTTTTTAAGGGATTAAGGTTTAGCCCATTAAATTCGGACATAAAAATATTCTTTAAGGGGCATTTATATATTACAATTTATATAAATAACCTTTTAATTGCCGGACCCGACAAAAAAGAAATCGTTAAATTAAAAAAGGTCTTATTTAATAGGTTCGAAATATTAAACCTAGGGCCTTATAATTATTATTTAAGCATAAGCATTATTCGTAATCGTATTAATAAAAAGATATATCTTAATTAAAAAGCTTACCTTAAAAAAATTATTAAAAAATTGGATTAATAAAAGGCGATACTTAACGCTATATTTATAGTAACGTCTAAAATCGACGAGCCCTTAAACGATTACGAAACCAATACAGCAAACATTAAATAATATGCCAAAATTATAAGATACTTAATATACGCTATAATAAATATCCGTCCGAATATTGCTTATATTATTTCCTATTTAAACCGCTACATAAAAAATCCTATTACCGCTTATTTCGCCGCCGTTAAACGAATATTTCGATACCTTAAAAATACGCTTAATTATAAGTTCGTATATTAAAAAAAACTACAGAACTTAATCGATTAAACCGATTCCGATTGGGCCGATTATTAATAAAGCCGCTATTTAATTACCGGTTATATTTTTAATATCGAAAGCGGCGCTATTAATTAATCGTCCAAAAAATAACCCATAATGGCTTTATTCTTATATAAAGCTAAATATATAAAATAA